CCTGCTGACCCCTGGCCCCATTGATTTCCGTCTTGGAGGTTCTCACCCATGACCTTTGCCGGTCTTGAGATTTGCGGAGCGGAACGTACAATTTTTTAAAAATATAATTATTCTGATGTAATATATCTTTTTAAAATTTATTTATTTTGGCTGACCCATGGGGCTTGCAGGATCTTAGTTCCCTGACCAGGGATCCAACCCGTGCACCGGGCAGTTAAAGTGCAGAGCCCTAACCATTGGACCACCAGGGAATTCCCTCAGAACCCTGTAACGTTAAAGGGCACTAATTCTGCTTTCTGGGGTCATGTGTTCAAGTTCTGGCTCTACAGTTCCCTAGCTTGGGCAACTTAATCTCGGCCTCAGTTTCTTTCATTTGTAAAATGAAGAGAATATGAATGCCCTTCTAAAAACTTGTTGAGAGTATGGGATTAGGCCACAAAGATTGCCTGGCACCGTAGTAAGTGCTCAGTAAAGGTCACTCGTTATTAGTTAACCGTTTTTATAGAGCGCCTTGGTTTAGATGCAGAGCACTGCCATAGCCTGATAATCTCTACTCTTAGAATGCCCCCAGCCTGTTGGAAGAGCTACAGTTCCTGGAGTAATTATTATTATGCCATTTAATAATAACAGTATTGTAGCTAATATTTGTAGGAGTTTTAAAAATATACATAACCTCATTTAATCCTTTCAATAATCCTTTCATTTAATAATTATTTTTTAAGCATTGTGTTCCAAGCCATGTTCTTGGGTCCGGGAATACAGTAGTGAACAAACAACAGTTCTTTGTCAATTTAAATAAGGTTTTGTAATTACATACACGTATGATAAAGCTATAAAGAAAAACAAAGTGGGAAGTCCCTGGCAGTCTAGTGGTTAGGACTCCATGCTTTCACTGCTGGAGGGCTTGGTTTCTGTCCCTGTCTGGCAACTAAGATCCTGCAAGCAGCCTGGCCTGGGGCCAAAAAAACAAGAAACAAACAAAAAAGACCCAAAGTAACAAAATTCAGGTTGTTGGTTACCTCTGGGGAGGGAAAGA